ATATATTTCGATTATCAATTAAAATATTTAGCTAAGGTTCAATTCATAGATTGACCTAAATAATAAATACATTTAGTTACTCCAACACAGCTAATAAGAGAAGAGAATAGTCTATATCTTGTTTAGGCAAATATAATAAACTTATGTGATGCTTTTTAATTTCTTTATAATTCATCAAATTACAATTGAAATTAAAGATATAGTAATTCTTTGTATTATTATCGGATAATATATATTATATTATATTTTAGGGTCGAAGATGTGTAAATAAATTAAAAACATTAGTATAATATTTATTAACTCTACAAAAGAATTGCAAATTTAAAAATATTTAAAGATTAAATTTCTAAAATTAATAATATTCTTGTATTCTTTTTGTAATTATTTGCTACTTTCTATTTCATTACTTTTAGAGGCACTTACCTATTTTTTAAATCATAAATAAAAAATAACATGTTTTAAGACTTTTTCATCATAATCAATTCATGAATATTTCAAATCTTATTTTTTGTTTTCTAAATGAATTATTAGATTTCGCTTCATTTAATTAACAGATGATAAATTGGGTAAGATTTACAAAGCATCAAAAACTAATTTTGGAATTGAAACAGGTTCATAATCAAAATATGAAAAGGTGAGCAGGTACTTACAAAGCAAAAAATCATTCTTTTAATCAGTGACTCTACTTATTCACTTAGATGATGATTGTATTATTTATTAAAATGCATAGATTGTCAATTGATAAGATTTATAATTTTTTTATATTCTGTTAGAGTGACTCTTATATTTGCACAAATATAATATATGTTGCCTTAAATTAACATAATCTTATTTTTTATGTATTATTGCTTGATTGAAATTCTTGTACTTTATTTATATGGATCTCTTTAATATAAGAAGGATATTCAAACGCATCCTTTCAAATGAATAAGTATCATAATAAGTGTGAAATTTTTTGATTCCTGGTACAATTTTACAAGCATGTATAATACTAGTCTAGTCTATGATATTGAGATTACTAAAAAATGAGATCATTTAAAATTTATCCAATGTTTGAATATACGTTAATCAACTTATAATTTATTTGAAATTAATTTTATGTAAATTATAATATCAACTAAATTATTGAATTAGTTAATAAAATAAGCAATTATATATACTATTACCATTATAATTTTGATGGAAGATATTATCAAAATTTGAAATATAATTCAAAAAATCATTCATTGACTAAATATTGTCCATTATTTTATGGATCTTAGTGTGTCTTTTTAGTAAGAGCTCTAAAAAGGATTTATAAATTTTTTAATTACAGTTTAGCTAAATTATTTACCTATGTTTAAGTATTTAAAACTTGAATGAATTCTTGTTAAATCATAACGGCAATATTTTTTGTAATAAACAGCAAAAATATTTACAATGAATGTCAGCATAATCAATTCAAAAAATAATTAAAACTATTTTTTTTGAATACCGAAACAACTGAATTATTTAATTTAATTACAGCCAAAAATTTAGTAATTGAGTAAATTTATCCTGATTGCAAAATTAAGTTCTTAAATTTTGAAATTATAGGGTTTATTTTAAACAACTTTAGCTTAATAAGAGAGTAAATAAAACCCTAATATTAAAGTCTTCAATAGAATTTGGTTTCTAAATATGTTGTTAATAAAATTATAATTGTTTTTTACCATAATTTTGAAAGCAAGCTGTTATCCATATTATTTTTTTTTATACTATAAAATACTAAGAATTGAACAAGAATAATTCTTCTAAAAAGAGAAATTATTATTGAAATATTTATATTTAGAGGATAAATATGTTTTAGTTTTATTATAGTTATGAATTAAAAAGGAATAAATTGTTTCAATTAGAATATCAAATAATGGTATGTTAACATAATTAATTATTCATTATTATAAATATATTCCTTCTTGTATAATTTCTTGTGAATTGTAAAAGCATTAAAATTAAAATAACGAAGATATCGATAAATAGAAATGAGAATGAAAAATTAATATCTAGAGTAAAAATAAGGGAAGTGACCCATAAATAATTATGTAACATTTTACTTGGATTCCTTTGATATTTTTTAAGTTCAGTAAATTAATGTTTAAATAAAACTAAGATAATAATTTCTCATTATAATTTCATGACTTGAGAGAAATAAATAATTAATTTTTATTTATTGATTCTCTTTAAGGATAATTATTAAATAAATTATATTGTTATTTAATAAAAGAAAACAAATAAGAGTGGAAGGATAATGTTACAATGGTTTAGCAGATATTCAAGAATATTTAACTAGTATCCTGTTTTTCAGAAAGACTGTAGAATTTTATTTATCAACATTTAATAGTATTATATATTACTTTATAAAAACCTTAGCTTCAAATGCAAATTTAAGATCCATTATAGATATAATATTCACTTAATTAAAATTTAAAACTTAATGATATATTTGAATTTTTTGGAGAAAATACTGTTTTATAGAGGATCTAAATTTTTTAAGTGACAATAATTTTTTAATATGGATTAAGGCTAAATGCTAGATGTACCTAAATTAAAGCTACTAATTTAAGACTCATATGATGATGTATGATTTGCTGATCCTCTTATTTCTCTGTCATTATTTGTAATTTCAAAAAATAATTCTCCCACATTTTATACATGTTAATTTATAATCAATAATTTTTCTATGCCAAAGATTTTGCATGACATTTTAAGTTAAAGTTAAGTATTTAAATATCATAAAAATCTTTAATTTTAGGTTAAATTTTATTTAGGTGTCTCGTAAATATCAATTCTATAAACCTCCACTTTGGGTGCTTGCGACATTATAAGCAATTTAATAATACTTTTAATCTTAAGATATATTCATAACTGTAATCGCATTCTCTTTATTTCATTTATTATTGAAAAATAGAATACCCTTGCTTATAAATCTTAGATTATCAAGATATCTATAATGATAAAGAATTCAATTCAACAATCTAATTATTTAATTTTATTTGAAACATTTAATTCTTTAATGAAGTTAAATTGATAATAGATAAATATTATATAATTATCTTGTTTTGAAGTAATATTGTTATTATTCGAAAAATGGATGGAGATATTTTAAAATCTAGAAGATCTAATAGTAAACTGTGTTGAGAGTTTAACTTAAGCACTCAAAACTATTTATTTATTAACCAAACTATATTTTGTTGAATTAATTGAGAAATTTCATATCAAAATAATTTCTTGTAATTTAAAGTGACAATATCAAAAACTAAACTCTATTCAGCTAATATATTTTGTAAGAACAATTTAAACATTCAAATTACTAAACTCAATTTATTTTGCCTCTCCAATAGTTTTAATTTAATATATCTTTATTATGAAAAGTTAATTACATCTACTTAACCTTATTCTTTCATAATTTATAAGGATAATAGTCTTACCAAACATTATAAGGAAAAATATTAGGTTCTTAATTATTTATTGTTTAAAGTTAACTATTCAGATGTAAACCTCATAAAAAGAATTAAATGATTTAGTTAAGGAATGTTGGATTCCAATTCAAGTTATTGACTTAAATTTTCCTTTTTGCTAAATTAATTAAAAATAAAGTAGCTGGTTATCATACTTACAGAATTTAAATGAATAATTTGTTTTGATATAATAAATTTTCTATCACAAGATCAATTTAGTCTTCTGAGAGAATGGCTAACAATAAAAAGGATTAGATATAATTCAACTATTTTAATGGATTTCTAGAAAATTGAATGTTTATAAATACTAAATATTGATTTGATTTACTTTAGACTATTTCTACAAGTTATTTAATCAAAAATTGGATAATTGTATAATCTTGCACTTCTTTCATTAAATCTTTATCAATTCAATATTTAAAGATTGATTTTTTTTTTTTCTATCTTTATATAAAGATTCAATCTAAGTAATTAATATTATATAATCAATTTAATTTAACCTTTGCATTTTGATTGAGTAATTTATTATACTATTCAAACTAACTTTTTTTCCAGATATTTAACTGCTTATTGAATAGTTTTACTTGCTAGACTCAACTCAGCATATTCATATTTTTATTAATCTTAATAAAATTATAAAATGATTCAATAATTCTAATCATTATAAATTTATTAATTTTTGCTATCCATCATTTAAAATCCATCATTTTTCTTCTCCCTTTCTCTTTTCATTTCAACCCAATAATTGCATTTTTTACCTAATTTATATTCTCCTTGTCTAATTACTTAATAATCCCTAATAAATTAAAAATCTTTAGAAACTTACAAAGAAAAACATTCACTCAAATCTATCCATCTTCCCTATTTTAATCCATCATTATTATAATGACCCCCACCACTATTTCATATATTATTATCTGAATAAATTTATTACATTATTTCAAAACTATTGTTACAGGAATATCTAAACATAGTTTACCAATGACCAAACTTTTTATTATTATTATATTCTCCTTTAAAAATAACCTAACTTTCACTTAAATTACGATTAACTAACTCTTTACTCTTTAAAATTATCCCATAATTCTATCCACTTCCCATACTTTTAGCCTTTATCATCAAAGAAACCTTCGCCACTATATTATTTATCATTTATATAGTATACATATAAATAAAGCCTCTGTCATCATCTAGCCTATACATAGAATCCCATCTATCAATTTATATACCATTTTGATATTATCCTTTATAAATAACTTGACAAGTACTAAATTTAAATTAGAATCTAATTACTAATCAAAATTATCACTTAACTCTACCCATTTCCCATTCTTCTAACCTTAATCATTAAATTATCCAGAACAACTTAAATAGTATAAAAAAATATTGTTATTTTACATTTTTTCAAAATTGTTTTCTTTGTCATATCTGAAAAGTGTTTCCCACATACCACACTTTTTTCCATTTATGTATTCTCCAATATATACAATATGAATGTAACTAATATTAAATTAATATTACTCCTTAAAATTATCACTCAAATCTATCCATTTTCTATGTTTTAAGCCATTTGCATCATACAACCCACCTCCACTAATAGAAAATATTATTTTGATGTTTACATAAATATATTCTATTCAAAAAAATCCCATAACCCACATTTTTTACCATTTATATATTCACCTACATATGTGATTTACATATAACTAAATAGATAACTCATTATTTACACAGAAAACCATTAACACAAATCAATCCATTTACCATTTTTCTAACCTAAAAGATTAAAATATCCACCACCACTAATAATTACTTATACTTAATTTACACTGATTAATTCTTATAACTGATTTCCCAATTTCCAACCTTTTTACCATAATGATATGCTCCTTTGTAGGTTACTTAACTATCCCTAAAATTAGAAAAATTTATATATAAATTGTTGCTTGCAAAAATTATCACTCAAATCTATCCATAAGCCATGTTTAAATCCTTATAAATCATAATACCCTCCCCCTCTATCAAATATTTAATTTTTGGATACATTTCTATTTCATTATAGATATATCTCCATATTCCTCTTTTCTTGTCATTAAAATATTCTCCTATTTGATAAACTTAAGCATTTCTAATAAGATTAATAATTGTTTTTATGACTACTTTTAAAAATTATCCATAATCTCTTTCCACTAACCAATTTTTTTACCTTCCTCAGTGTACTCTCCACCAAAATTAACCATCAAAATACCATTCCAATAAGCAGACCATTTTCCAACTTTTTTTTAATTCTCCCCATGTTAACCAATCCAACTTAAATATCTAATTTAATCTAAATTTTTCAATATTTATGGTTTGATGGATACATCATGGATTGCATCACTAAAATTAAAGAAATTTGCACATTCTTATAATTTCTCCATCAACAATATATAATATTTATTGATTCTTTGTAAAATTAATTTGAATCTAAATCTTTCTAATATTTGGATTTTCAAAACAATAATAATGAAAGGAACAAAGCTCTTATGAAACTTCTTTAGGAAATACCAACTCTAAATTAAAATTTTCAGAAAAATTATTCTAAAAATTCATTTTAATAATAATATTCTCATATATTTCAATGTAATACCATTTTCTTAAAATTGATTAATTTAAAATAGAAATCCCATTCCTTTAAATTTAATAGTTTAATTTATATGTTCTTTAATTATTTTGAACTTTATTATTTCTATGTTATCAATTTATTAATCAATTTCATTAATTGCTAATACTTTAATCTATTATATAGTTTTATTCACAAAATATTATGATCAAGATTCAGTTTTAGGTTAAATTATTTCAAAATTCAATTAAACTAATTTAACATTCCAAATATACTTAGGGTTTTTTTTTTGATTAATGTTTAATTAGAAATGTGGAAGGTCTGAAAAATCTTGTAATTAGATGTTTAAATCTTTCTTAATTTCTAAAGTATTGACATATAAAAATATTATTCCTGAATTAATATATGTGAAAATTATTTAAATTTAATTCTTATTAATTATCAATGATTCCAATTTTTAATCAAATTAAATAAGTTGAAGATGAAAAAATATGGAATTATCAAATAATCTATGCATAAAAAATTAAAATTTTAATCCTCGTTTGAAAAATATAATAATAATTCTATTTTTTTGTGTAAGTTTATACTATGAGCCATTTATAAGAGACAGACCAGCAAGAAAAATTGGAAATAAAATTGTAGACCTATACCTATACATAGTCTATACATATATAGCAAATTAACATTGAGATTTATTTAAAGCATATCTGTGAATTTGAATTTCAATGAAAAGTATTTTTAAACAAGATATCCGCTTTTGGAGTTTAAAATCAAAGCTCAATACTATTACTACTAAATCATTAACATTGAATTAAGATGTTATTCCTATGAGTAATAGAAAAATATTAAAGCTACTGTTTAATAGATAAGATCTGCATTATAATTAATAACCTAATCCTTACCCTCCACTTTTAGATTAAATTTCTTTAATCACTTCTCTAAACTGATTCCAACTACAAAACATGAATCAATGATAAGATTTCCTATAAAATTTCAATAATTTTAGAAGGATTTTTTTAAATAAAAAAATACTATTAAGAGGTTGATTAATTAACTTTATAAATTATTGAAAACCTATTATCGATTTCATCATTTTATTAATTTACATTTAATGGACAGTTTTTTCGAAACTTTTGCATTTTTTTTTAATTTCATTTTTTTTGCAGATTTAAAATCTTTATATCTTTATAATCCGGGATACCATGAACTTGATGATTAGGCAAAAATAATTATATTTTATAGAGGAAAAACCTTAAATAATTTAATTAAATAAACTCCTTCTTGTATTTAGAGAATTTGTGTATTTTTTCAATAATTATTATTAATGGATGAAGTCATTCACCAAGTATTTAATATTCCAATACTGTTTCAGATTATTATACATTTGATATAAAAACAAATCCTCCATAAAAGAAAAATAACAATCTTAAATTGATAAAAAGAGAAATTCAATTTAATTCAATAAGATTTTTAGATATTGGTTGATAATTAAAAAATAAAGAATTTCAATATATTGAATGCCATTTATTAAGAAAATATTAAAAGCATTTCCAGATGCAGTCTTTATATCAAAAGGAATATGAAATCAAAATGTACATCTTGTTATATTCTTTTAAACTATATTTTAATAATAATCTTTTTTAACTTATTAATTAAGAAAAAAAAACTTTATGTTGTCATATCACATAGTAAAAAGAATACTCAAAAAAATAATTTTTAACTTCTAATCTTATCATCTACCTTACTGAAATAAGGACTATTATAATATGTAATAAGACCCTGCATTACTATGCTAAGTTGAAAAATGCCAAGGCCATTCAATAAATTATCAACTTTAGCCAAGAAGCAAGTTAAATAGTTGGCAGATAAGAGTTTAGGCATTCAACTTTGATTTTAATAAAAGAACTTAAAAATCAAACTAACACTTACTTACTTAATGTTGCATTTGGAAAGTGTTTTCGATTAAAATTTTGCTACAACATCTCAAAAAGAAATTAATATTTCCTTCAGATGAAGTGAGAAAAATGAAGATTCATACAGGATTTAGGTTGCATAAACAAAACTTTTACTTACAAAATGAAAGTTTTTTATACTCATGACATTTGAATAGATAGAAACCTCTGCTATAAAATAAATAGATATTCATAATTTAGTAAAATAAAACAATGGCCAATATACTTTATATTTTCATA